AAAATAAATTAACATTCCTTGTTTTGATTCCACTTTTTCAGTCAAAAATTATAAATACAATTGCTAAAGAAAAGCAATACATGTGTACTGATGATTTTGAACATGCAACAAAAGTATATTCTCTTGAAAACCCGAAAAATTAGTTCTATAGATTGAAAAAGGAATTCATAATTTACATGCAATTAAAATTTTGACTTCAGTGATTAAATCTCTTTGAAAAAAGTGTGTTTTATACCAATACAGTCCAAATTATGAAAACCATTAGTTAAAAACTGAAATGAATTATGATATGCACACATTATACCAGCAGCTGACCATTATTAACTATAAGAAAAAATACAAGCCAGGAAAAAAATAAAATAAAATCTTTTTGCAAAGAATCATACCACAAATCATATATTGTATTCTTATTAGTTTCTTTGAATGAATGATTAATTATGTTACACTGCCTTATCATCCACAGATTGAGAGGGAAAGTTTAAAAATAAGGAAATCTTATAATACAAGATTAAAATTTCAAAAGAATGTCTGCTCATAACAACAAATATTGTTAATAAACTAACCTGTCTTGAAAATTGTTTCTTAGAACACCGATTTGCATTTAATTTGACGAAACATTCCTATCAATTTCACTTCATTCTCCATCCTTTCTTCTCCAGAGGCTCTTTTGTAAAAGGAGGTAAAAACAATCAAATGGTTTAAAACAACTCGTTCATAAAATAAATTATTACGACAATCAGTAGGTCGTACTTAGAACGCGCACCTGCAAAAAATTAAAATACCAAAAATTGCCGACATTTTTTAAATTTTTGGGATATTTTAATCCTGCAAGTATAAAACAAGTCTTCCATCTTTTATTTTCAGTACACATATATTAAAAGTGCTCAGAGACACCAGAAAAGAAAGTCAAAATGAATATTGAGAAATATTCAATTTTGTTCACCTCATATTTGTCACTTTGTATATGCATGTATTAATCGTGTTAATTTGTGTTATGTTATTAATGTTCATGACATGGTAATCGTCAATAAAGTTAATTGATATAATATAGAAACTGTTGAAAGTTGAAATTTTTTTTTACATACCTGAAAAAGTTGACCAAAAAAAAAAAAAAAAGAAGGAAATTGACCAAAGTCGAAAATCCTATTTCGTGGGGGGGGGGGGGGGGGGGGAGGTAGGAGCAAACTTTTTTCAAAACAATTTTTTAACCTTACAAAACTATATTTCATTCCTACGGAAGCCTGTTGGTGCCACGTACGAAAAATATTTTATCTGGCGGCCGCCACTTATTATTTGGCGGCCGCCACTCATATATCTGGCGGCCGCCACTTAATATATTGCGGCCGCCACATAATTTATCTGGTGGCTGCTATATAACATCTGGCGCTCGCCACATATTCTTCTGGCGGCCGCTATATAATATCTGGCGGCCGCCACATAATTTATCTGGCGGCCGCTATATAACATCTGGCGGCAGCCACTTATTAATTGGCGGCCGCCACTTATATATCTGGCGGCCGCCACATAATTTATATGGCGGCCGCCAGATAACACCTGGCTTCCTGATGCGTGCGCACGTTTTAATGTGTGGTTTTAGATACACTGTAAAAATTATAATAGCAACAGCAATCAACCAAACTTGTTAGAGATTTATTTTGAACCAACACTCCAATCCACACTTCTAGGAGATATGTTTTTGCTTAGAGCAGATTAATATTTTATTTGAATTATGCAAGTATTTGTAGAGTGTTTCGATTATTAAGAAGCCTTATCAGGGGTCATGGACATAAATCATGGTGTCTGCTTTACGCTATGATTGGTTGAGAATTAAATTAAGTTTTGCATTTCGGATTTCCAAGAATGGTGTTCCAATATTTCAGAATTCGTTTTTTATCATTTAATTTTTTACTTTTTTATCAATAAGCCGCGGTTGTGTCAACATCCATCTTCTTAAACCAATAACACTCACCTTTTGCAAAATAATTTATGTGGCGGCCGCCAGATATATAAGTGGCGGCCACCAAATAATAATTGGCGGCCGACAGATATATATGTGGCGGCCGCCAATTAATAAGTAGCGGCCGCCAGATATATATCTGGCGATATATCTGGCGGCCGCCAAATAATAAGTGGCGGCCGCCAATTAATAAGTAGCGGCCGCCAGATATATCTGGCGGCCGCCAGATATATATGTGGCGATCGCCAGTTAATAAGTAGCGGCCGCCAGATACATATCTGGCGGCCGCCAGATAAAATATTTTTCGTAGGTGGCACCAACGGGCTTCCGTACATTCCTGTTACTTTACTTTAGTATAAACTTCACACAAGCAGCCTTTCAATGAACATTTTCAATAGTAAAAGTATTGTTGGAAAAAAAAGTGGGGTGCATGCATATACTGAATAACATTTACCTCATATGCATGGTGCTGTCTCGTGAATGGAATACAGCAAGAGCTATAATTACATCAGCCCAGTAAAACACTTTTCTCTATTTTTTCAAAATCAATGTCTACTAATCAAAAATATGTATTTATAACCACTTAACTGCAAAAATGTAGCCCTCTCCTTTTTTTTTTGGGGGGGGGGGGGGTATCAGATTTAAAAAAAAAAATCGGAGAGGGCAACTTTATTGCAGCTAATATTCATTTAAAAGCCTATTTATAAGGGGTTTTTTTTAAATATATTTTTTTAAAAATTCTGTTATAAGTATGTGTATGTTATAAACGTTTTCCAAATAAAATTGTTCTCGTCTTCTTTTTTTTAATTTTATTTTTATTTTTTAATTTTTTTTTCAATTCAATTCCTTATAACAATGTTTGCTAGTCCAGACTCTGTTTTGACAAATTAAGAACATCATCAGTCATACTTCAGCTGCTGCGTATCTCGATGTGACCTAATTTTTTTTCTCGATGAGTTATCAATTTTGTTACGAGTACGTCCATTCCAAAGTAATAAGAATTAGTCTCATTGACTTAGTTTTGCATACCGGTATACTAGTATACTAGCTTCATGTTAGAATATATTGTACAGTACCCAAGATTAGTCATCTTCAAATTGTACTGTATGTGAACCATAAAATATTTGCTACATGTAGATAAAATGTACATTGAAAGGTCGCCCCCTTTTTGTTTAGATAAAGTCAAATTAGGGTAAATAGTCGACTTTGAATAAAATTGATACTGAGAAAAAGTTGGAACCTACCCCACTCCCACGAAATATCATTTCTGGGTTTGGACACTCCCCCCGCCCCCCTTTTCTTTTATTTGCTTGTCACCCTTTTTCTGGGTATGTGTAGAATTTTTTTGTCCTCACTGAAAGTGGAGATATTATATTGGGTCTGTCATTCTGTCTTTCTGTCTGTCTGTAACACTGGTTTCTAATACAAGATCTCGAGAAGGTATTGAACTTTTGCATTGAATGAAACTCCACTGGGGCCTAAAGAAGAACCTTATTTATTTTGAGGTCAAAAGGTCAAGGTCATAATTCATTTATTTTTGTGAGTAAATTTTCATTTCCAAGTGACTTGTCAAGCATTTGAAATGAAATTTTATACCATAACTTCTTATGGCCCCTGCCCTCTTTTAAGTGTCATGCCTCCTAACCCCCTCTAGATCTAGCTGTGCTGTTTTTTCCTAATTAGTGTGTTTTTCCATCTGCCCCCTCCTTTTCCAAATAAATGCTACAGTACCTGAACAGGTTCATTCAAAATTACCATCAATAATGTGTCAGATGCTGTGCATGACTTGAGAGTACTTTTTATCTGACTTTTTACTGCTGTACAGGAACAAGCATATATAGTAAGAATGATTAAAATTAAATATGCTGGCTATGCTGCATATTATCCATGCATTTATTAAGTGGATGAATCATCTAGTCAATTTGACCTATTCTTAAATTAATATTAACTCTTGAACAGGTCTTTAACTTAAATTGCATTCTTGATGCAGGTAATTTGAGAGGGTCCCAAAATCTGGCCTTTCCTACAACAGTATTCTTGCACACTCAGTGACAGTTGGACTGAAAATAAGAGACCCCTGGGCTATAATGCTCACCTGAGTCACTTTGGCCTTGCTGTTCTTTGTAAGGTTTTTGAAAAAATTCTGCTTAATTAAAAAAAAATTAATCCATATTGTGGGCTACATTCTAGCAGGAAGAGAGCTATAATTTAATCAAAGTTGTAATATTAAAACATCAGGATACTTTAATATCAATTTGATTAACATGGCCCTGCTGTCATGGAGAATTTTCATTTCCTGTGCAAATGCATTATGTAAAATATGAACGTCAGATTTTGGACAAACCTTGTTCATAATTTAAAAACAAAAATAATTCCTTGTGACTTAGATATATTTATTTTTTTGCTTTTCAAATCCATTTGGTGTGGTTTTTCCACTGTTTAAAAGCTTCCTTCCCACATACTGTTCTCTTTTGTAAATCTGATACTTTATTGTAGCCTCAAATTATTCCATTTCAGGGTCTTGACCAGAACAAACTTTAATTTATCTAATTGAGGATACTTAAATATCAATATAAAAAAAAAAATTGGCTTTGATTTTCATAATGGAATGAATTTTAAAATTTTAAAGATTTTTCATACATATTCCTATAAAAAATGATGATATCCTATTGTGATTACTTGAATCCCTTAACCAAAGGATGTTCTGTGCAAAATTTTGTTGAAATTGGCTCAGTATTTCTGAAGAACAAGATGAAAAGTGAAAAGAATTCGACATCAACAACAACAGAGACACAGGAGACCAAATTCTGATCAGGAAAGCTAACCTGAGCCTTCAGTTCAGGTGAAGTAAGAGCCTAAAAAGCATCTAAGCCACATAAACTATGTGGGAGGATGCTACTAAATGCATATCAATTTAACTAATGCATGATGTAGGGTGTGCGTGGATTGACAACACTCTTACATACGATCTAGCAAACCAACAGAATATAAATCAATACTGAACAAAACCCTGAAAAAAAAATCAGAAAAAAATAAAACAGACTGAGGAGAAAAATGATTTATTGTCACATAAGATTCCCACTCAAATGACAAATAAATCAATTGTGATCATATGACACACAGCTATATTGTTCTATGTACAAAGTCACACCAATGTTACATGTAACATTTGAGTTAGTCTAGTAATAACATCATACAAGCACTGTATTCAAAACCAGTTAAGGAAAAAAAATCTGCACATACAGATGGCTGAAAACTTAATGTTTCTATTTATATTTAAAATTCATGTTTTAATTTCATGTCAATATCTATTTTTTAAATACATTAAGGGTTAGTGTGCACATTACTTCAAAACTATTAACTAAAAAAATCTTCAACACACTACACTAGAAAATGGTGATCCTTGGATTTTAATGAAAAATCACACAAGACAATTTTGCTATAAAACTGCAATATCTCATTCACTGCATTGAGATCAATAAAGTGAAAGTCTAAGAAACCAAAATAACTAAAAAAAAAAAACTTGACTACTCTAGAACATTTACATAGAAGATATAATCTTCCACGATTTCACTGAAATTTTCATACACTCTATATTTATGCTCAAGGGTTTAAATTAAGAATCAGTAGAGATTTCATATGCCAGAGGTATACAATTGGTTCTATGTGCTCTTAAGTTATCAGGTATCATACATTTATTAAGCGTATAATGTTAAAACCTACACAATTTCAAGAGGTCTTGCAAATGATTGGTGGATATACTTCTAAGATGTCAACCTGATATCGCTAAATATCAACAATTATGAAGCAATGTCAGAAATATAAGGTACATTTATTGATTAATCACATCAAGAAAATGTGTAATGTTTTTGTTCAAACTTGGTAAATCAAAGTTTCTAAACCTACATAAAAATGTCATGTGACTAGAAAGAATGAATGAAAAGAGAAAAAGTGGGACTGGAGTAGAAAGATGAACTACAAATTTAGTAAAACATCCATACATATTTATTCTGGTCATGGAAAAAACATTCCTTATGAGATATAGAGTGTGTGTCCAGTTTTTCTTTTAATATAAATGTTGTACATCCAATAGATTTCTAATTATTCTGCCCTCCAGCCACAAACATTTGGACTCTCAGAAATTTTTTTTAACTGCAGTATTAACTTTTAATTGACATCTGACAACCATTCCTGAAGATGATACAATGAGAAACCTACCAAAAGCTAACATAAAATACAAACAGGTAATCGTTCTAGACACTCATATAATATGCAAAACCCAATGTACAAAAATTCAGTGTTTGAGCACTAGCATTCCTACAGTAATAATTTTTCAGTATTAAATGATTGAGAAGCAGTGACAAGCAGTGATGTTCTAACCATCAGGGAATTTACAGATGAAGTAACAATAAGTTATAAATCCTGGAGTATTATAAAAAAAAATAATTGGGAGAGGGGGATACAATGACAAAACTATACACATGTAATGTGGTGGGATGGTGGTCATATTTTACAGAGATGCAAAAAAAAAAAAGTACCATAAAATGACTGCATGTCTAAATTAAGTAATGTAGGTCTAATTCTATGAAAGTTTTCCCCAGTTTCATTAGGTGGGGTTGTTTTAAACTGTAAAAAAAATAACCTGAAACATTATTTTAGAAATCTAGCAAAAAAAAAAATAAATGTTGGCATGTATCCAAAACATTCATCTGATATACACAGCTTAAAGAAGTTCAATATACACATACAAACTATAAAATGGACAGAACAATTTAATCCAATCTTCTTATAAATGAAAATTTTGTTTAAAAAAAATCAATACAAATTATGTTTCAAGAACTCATGATTTCTTAATCTATGAGAATCTAGGAGTAAAATGGTCCCCGAAATGTAATTATGTTAGTCAGTAATTGTAAAGAAAAATAAAATCAGCTGAAAAATATCAAATAACATGCAACTGACTTCAAATAAACCACTGGTGAAATATAACAATAAATATGTTGTGCAACAATAAACAATATCACAACAAAAGGGAAAACTTTAACATGGGGCTATGGACCATCTCAAAATATACAAACATGACTGAATTAAAAAACTGTGTTTTAAGTTCTTGTTTTAGGGGCAGGGGGCTTTGATTGACTATAAAATTGTGGATCTACTTGATGTTTTTGAATATATGACATCAAAACAATAAAATCCTGATTCGAAAATAGTTACTTTCTTATTTGTAAATACACAAAGTTCTATATAAACAAATACAACAGCCCATTCTTAACATTTCTAACCTCAAATATTATGGAACAAAATAATTATTGTCTATGTGCCTTTATCAATAAATTCTGTCTACATGTATGAAATGTCTCAGGTTTATTTAAGGAGGAAAATTCAAGTATTCTGTAACCAGGAGAGTACATGTAATTAGCCCATATCTTTTTCACAAATGCATTTTACTCAAGTTACAAACCATATTGGATTCCTATCAAACTAGCATGAAAAGAATGTATAGGTTAAGAATGAATAATTCATTATTAACAAGAAAATTCAACCTATTCTCAGCTATTTATACTCTCTCTGAGCTATCTGTAAACTTCCATACATCAATCAGAAAAATAAATTTACATCAAAAAAAGGGAAACAACTTGGCAGAAATATCATACATCAAATACATATATATGTATCCAAATAAAGGTATCATATACAAACAAAAATAAGTATACAATCATGAATGTATATATATAATTATATATAAATAACACATGGATGAAAAAAAAAGAATTGTTACGGAGCATGTTAGGTCAACTTGGTATTTACAAGAAGAAAAATGTTCTATTTATGTGGGGTCTTGCCTCATCCTTGTGAACTAGGATCACACTGTAAAAGACGGACAATGGAAGGGTCGCTTTTTGCTCCTTCAATAAATTCTGTCAATGACAGCTGTCCGTCAAGATTCTTGTCCATCTGTCGGAAAATCTTTTCCGTCCTTTTCTCGGGCGTAGCCTCATCCTCCGGCATCTTCATCACTGTGCCTACCATTTTGTAGATTGCCTTCAAGCAAAAAAAAAAAAAATTGAAAAATTTAGAACATGTACTGTTCATGTACATGAATTGGTTTATTAAAAAATTTAGCATATTCATAAATAAGCGCAATACACTAATGCACTGTATATTTTATTAATAAATGATTTCTTAGTGGTATTCATGAATAAACACATCATTGTCCATGCCAATGGCGCTAAAATATGAAGGCTGTTTTTTTAAGTACATTGTACACATACAGTATTTCATTTTTTTCATTAATATTCATGCAGTTCCCATTCATATCCAATGAACACAAGGAGCATATGAATCCAAAAAAGAAACAATATGCTTAATCTTTAATTTGTTTGTTTAATTTGTTTCATTTTTTTTTCAGATTTTTTTACATCGTTGTGTTTAATCCTTAAATACTGACAACAAAAAAAAGAACAACTGACAGAAGAAACCATAAAGTGAGGGAACATTATTACCAGGTACAAATTAAGCTTAGGAAATCCATTTCACATATGAGACTTCCTCAATCTATAACATTCTTTTCTTCATCACATCAATTTATCCCAAGCGTTTTGACAATTTTAAATAACTTTGATTTATTTTCACTCTTAAGAGAAATGCTAAAAAGCTATAAGAATTACAGTCCATGAATAAATGGTCAAAACTGAGAGCTAGGATACGGGGAATAAATAAAAAATTCATCAGGATCATTTACAATGAATTAAAGATTATAGAAACAAGTATATCAGACATACTGCATAAATAATTTCTTCAAACCTCAAAGAAACTTTGCTTTATCTGTTCAGAAACACTCTGTTTTTCAGTTTTCTGCAATTTGCGTACATTATATTGTATAATAGTACCTGTAGTAAAGTAATTTACAACCCTTATGACCTTCACCTTATTACCACTTAAAATGACCAGGATTATACCCTTGGTACAAAAAAGGCAAACCTTACGAACAAAGAGCATACATGTACGTGTTACGCAGTATATTACACTACTAACATAAATAAATAATAAAGGAAAGGGCACTCCGTTTTGATTGGTGTTAAGCCTCTTAAATCGACCAATAGATGATTCTGTTCAAATGATCAGTGTTTCAGCTCACGAATCCTTCATTCAACCTCCAGTCTGACAGCATCTGGCTTAGCTTCTACAGATCATGAAAATTAAATTGACATTTCCAGTCTTTTGTTACTGACTGAATAACAATATGGAAACCCAGGCAGAACCCTGGGAGGCACTGAGGTTACAGCACACTGGGGAAATATCCAATGCCCAACTATAAACAACCTTTTATGACTGCCAAGTTGCTTTTGACCTTTTTCTCTGAAAAAGTTCTTTTTGTAAAGAAAAGATGGGTCCATGCATGGAAAATCGTGATATGATGCAGTAGTGAGTAGTATAGCTTTGAAAAACCAACCCAAAAAGCTGTTAGTCTTGGAGCAATCGCATGTAATGACGGCAATTATTGGCATAAAATTTACATGCATTATCATCATTATCCTGCAAAAAGCCTTGAATAGTCTTTTTTATAGAAGTCCTACATGCAACAATATAAAAATAATGCATGTAGTTGAGGTAACATTGAAAATGTTCACCCCAAGGAAACCATTGTCATCTGAGGTGCAGCCAAGATTTACAATCGTTTTCGAGGGGTGAAAATTTTCAATGTTACACTCAACTACATGCAATATTTATTAGGGATGTGCGATTTTATCGATATACCGGTATATCGCGATTTTTTGTTTCGTGATATGTATCGTGATACGGAGACCTAAATACCTGTCTTTAGGTACATATTATAAAGTCCAGAAATTATTCATTTATTTGTTCAATATTTCAAATTTCAAATTACAATTACAAAAAGTATAAAAAACGTTGTAAAAAGTGAAAAGAACGGCATCTTACCGTCCAAACATACATGTAATTGATTTTATATACAAAAAAAATTCAAGAAAGTAAAATTTTGTTTTTCTAGGATATTTTTTAGAAAAATAATGACTTTTCATATAAAATCACTGTAAAAACTGCTGTTAAAAATATCATGATATTATCGTGATACTGTGGGAAAAAATCGTGATACGAAATTTTTGGCGATACCCATCCCTAATGTTTATTCTTGCATATATTGGTTCTTTTGTCGACAAAAAAGCATGTTGTCCTCAAACCCAGTCAATAAATGTATAATGTTACTCTCAATCACCTGCAGTATTTACTACACTATACTGAATGATTTATCAAAAAAGAATCAAATCAAGGTGTAGCCCCCTGCATATATATGGCATTCAGCACAGTCAATAGTTTGAGTTCTATTGCACTGAAGGGTGTGGTTTCTTCATTCAGAGGGTGACTCTTTCTTTCACATATGCTTCTATATTGTCAATTAAATCAAATTCAAGTATTCTACATGAAAGTAATATATTATAATAAATATTGTACACCATTTGATCCAAAAGTAATGTCATAGCTGATATAAATCTTAAATAATTAAATGTTATCAACAAAATCAGACATACAAATATGCCTATCTATTTTAATTTTTACCCAAAAATTCATTCTTTTTGATATATATTGAATACTTCTTAAAATATGACAATAAACACCATGATAAGTTCTGTCTATCCCTGCATGGCAGAAATGTTACCAATGTCATCATGAATTGATGTTACTCTTCAGCTCTCATTTTCAGTCCATCTGCAATTATTTCTTTTAACGTCTCACATGCGTCTTTTCAACCCCTTTTTTAAATATTATGTATCGTCAGATTGAAAATGAGTGTTGAAGAGAAACTTCATAACGGCATCGATGTCAGATCAGTATATTCTTCCTGTGTGGCCATAGACAAGACCCAGCATTGTGCTTATTTTAATAATTAATGAAGTATTGCATATAGCTGAATGAAATTTTAGGTCAAAAGTCAATAAAGATAGAGATATTAGTATATGACTCAATGAAAACTTTCAATTATGAATGATTTTCTAGCAGTTGTGATATATTTCTTTTGGATCAACCCTTGCATCTAGTCGTGGGTAATTTTTCCACCTGAACCTCAACATGCAATATTTATATAAGGAACCACTAAACAGCTGCTATTGACTTTCCCTGCTTGTGTAGAAGTCTACAATGGACTAATAGTCTATGTATAAGAATACCCAATTTGAAAGAAACCAAATAAAAGTACCGGTAAGTTCACATATACAAATTCATAGGAAATCACTACTAACAAAAATCAGGCAAGATTGAGAATTAAAAATTTCTCCTTAAATCTTTCTTTTTAATAGATTTAAACTCAGAGGACCTCTTCTCTTAAAAACTTAAGAAACTAAGAAGGTAGAAAAAAAATAAATTCAATTACACTCACCGTAACAATTTCTAACATCTCTTGTTTTGAAATGAATCCATTTCCATCCAAATCGTACATGCTAAAAGCCCATCGTAATTTCTGTTCTAATTTTCCTCTCGATGTAACACTTAAAGCACATATAAACTCACGGAAGTCTATCGTTCCATCACCGTTCTGGTCAAAGGTCCGAAATACATGTTCAGCAAATTTCGATGCATCACCGTAAGGGAAGAAATTTCCGTAGATTTTCTTGAATTCCTCCACCGACAGGTGGCCACTGGGACAGTCTTTAATGAAACCTTTGTACCATTCCTGTAGTTCGTCTTCACTGAATTCCGTCTGACTCCGTAGATCCGCCAGAATCTCGGGTTTCAGCTTACTATTCTGTTTTCCCATGATGACAAACTCCTGTTGCACTGGGATACCAGTAAATTACCTGGAAAAGAAATCTAGAACATTTCAATGTCAAATCAGACTTTTTATTGTGCTGTACTATATCTTATCTGACATACCACCATATACAATGTATTCCTTTAACTGGAGTTTAAAATTCAAGAACAACTAAAGCATTTTTAAAAAGTCTTTATCACAGTATCTTCACAAAGTATGCCAATAGAAATTTGTCCCTTTGAAGAAGACATGTAAAGCAAACCAGCAACTATAACTTTCACTATCTACAATTCATCTAATGTTCCTTGTCTCTTGGTAAGTCAACAATATAAGACAGTTAAGTCTAATGATATGTCAAAAACTTATCAAACATTGTCACTGTATACTCAAAATTCTTCCATATATAGAGAAATATAAAATGATACCATATGCTTACAGGGGTTTTCCTCAATAGCAGTCCAAGGCATTCATTCACATTCACCTGCCCTGGTGAATCAAATGGAATTATTTTATGTATGTGTTGGTTATTTTATTGATTTAATTATTTCCTTTGTTATATACTACAGATCGAAAAAAGACCCTGGCTCCGAGAGAACCGAATGCCTTTTGTTACAAAGTAATTAAATCTGTGAGAAAACATTGTGATTGTGTTCTATATAACATAAATACTACTTCTATTGTGAATCCTCCATGGAAAACCAATGCTTGTCTTAAGGCCTAAAAACACTGAATTTTCTGAAAATGCTGTTTCCTCAGGGACAAGTCTGAAACAATTTTACCATGATATGCCCTTGTAATTACTTTTAAAAAAATTCAAGTAAAAAAAAAAATTCAAATTAGATACTTGCATCCAAATTGTTCAAAATTCAAATCAACCAACTTCCATGCACAGTGGTACCACAAACCATTTCTTTCTGTCAATATCATTAATTAGGACAGCTATTGGGTTCTTTTAACTGTTCTTTTCAAGTTTAAGGTCTGACGACACCTTCCTCAAATATATGTTTTGTATCTCTTGGTAATATATAAGAAAACTAATTCAAAGTCGTCATTCTCTTGTGATTTCTACATTGTTTACAGAATGTTTTCAAATATAAACACCAAAAATTGTAATACAGTCCATTCAGTTGATTACCCATAAGAGTTATATAAGAAATATGACCTTGTCGTATCTTGTTCAAATGCCCAGTAAGGTACCCCAATTTTTTGTGAGGAAACTTGTGTGAGTACCTAGACTTCAATGACAAATTCTTAAGAAAAATTATATATTTTTGAGGAACGTGTCGTCTGACCTTAACAAACGACACTACATCATAGCATTTTCAGTTTGTGTATACAGATTCTAAATTGACAATATAAATGAACTTAAACAGAAGCCAATAACAAGCTTCTGAATTATGTACATGTATGTGAAAAATCAATATAAAATGCTGCAATTATGTTCTAATAACTGCCTTGTTTGCATTGTAGAAAATGGACACCTGAAGGTATAAACAGTGGGAGAAATGATAATGACAGAAAAAAATAAAGTATCATACAGCTCAGAGCTGAAAATGAGGCCAGGTTCATTGTCTTAACCAAATACCAGACCAGGAAGTAGGTCTGCATGAAGAATGATGGGAAATGGTTGAGGGGGCAAGGGAGATAATGTAAAATCACATATCTTGGGGAGATTTTTAAAGAAGTGTTGAGTAGTAATGCTTATTAAGTGGTGCTTATGACTTTGTGGGTCTCTTCATACCCCAAAAACAACAAAAATTTAACACACACCCCCCCAAAAAAAATAAATGGGAACACCTTAAATCTGTGTGCACATAGTAAAATGGAAGAAAAAAGATATGGAACTTTCAAACTGACCTGCTTCATTTAACATTACCTTAAAATCATTCACATCTTGAATTTAAGTCATCTTGATGTCATATCTGTTATCTAAAGATATAATGGTATTATGGCTGATGAAAATATGGTTTAAAACATAATTATAGATTTCTACATCACGGTTTGATATAGGAACCAGATATTGGTCATTAAAGAATACAGTTTCCCCATATACAAATCAATAAATTATCACTTTTTTTGCAAGAAAAAACAAGATATGTTTGTGAAACACTCATGCCCCCATATGGCAGCTTATGGCGAGGGTTGAAGTTTCTAAAATGCAAGTCAAACTCCAAAGGTCAAGGTCAAAGTTGTTGGTACAATATGTACCAAATTGAAAAGGAAGGTCTTGTAACAAGGAATACACCTTTGAAATGTGAAATCCCTAGTTCTAGCTGTTTAAATGTTATGGCAATAATTTAAGTTTTTTAAATGTGTGTCAACCTCTAAGGTCAAGGTCAAAAGGTCAAAAATATTTATACCCACTGGAAGGTTTTGTAACAATAAATATACATGTGAAGTATGAAAGCCCAAGCATCAACTGTTCAAAAATTATGGTGCCAGGGTTAAAGTATGCTTTTTAATAAAAAAGGGTCAAACTCCAATACCAAGGTCAAGAAGTCAAATTTAGTGGTACCCAAAGAAAGATGTTGTCACACTAAGGAATACAACTGTGAAATATGAAAGCCATAGCATGGTCCCACCCACTCAAAATTTATGAGCAAGGTTAACATTTCTGCAGACATACAGACAAAAAGAACAACAGATGGATGGACAGGGCAAAAAACTATATACCTCAAATCATCTATTATGAGGCAAAAAAAATCCAGTGAGTGGATCTTTGATGGGGGTTACAATCCCTGAGGAGGTTATTAAGTTTCAATGATGATTATCTGATGGTCAACACTATGATATTATAGAAGTAACGGTAGGTTAACTGTCAGCTCAAGTTTCTAGCCATCATGCATGTCAGTCCAAAGGTGATCAAGCTAACAAACATAGCAAATTATGTCAGCTTATCTCATTACACCTCATCTTAATCCCTTCATAAGACATAGACTGAACCTATTTACCTTACATTTCATCAATATTTTTTTCCACTAATGTCATAATTAGCTCCATTGGAAGATGGCTCTTTAAACCTATGTGTGACATGCATGGCATATACAGAATTGCAGCATACAACAATGTACAAAGCAATGCTAGGATTCTCATCTGTTTTGTGTTGTCTCTTGTTTTCCAAGGTATTTAGGACATTCTTCCAAAAGCATCAAAATACATTGTTCTATGGCGCTATGCCTCGTTTCAATAAACAAAATCATTTGTCCCTCAATTCTACACAATTAGCTACTTATTAAAGTAAAAATACCTACTTCCTTGGGGATATTGCGACACACATTCTTCTTTTATACTGAGGAGTGTTGCATTGGATTTTCACAAGTTCTGCATCAAACTGATAATGGCTCTGTTTACTTCAGTACTTACACAATATAATTATTATGTTTCTATAAAGATAAAGCTTCAGCTTTCTAGAGTCTTACTAACAACACTTCTTTGTTTCTAGTGTGAACCTTATGCCTAAATACATTGTGTACTTATTTTTATTCAGTGGAATAGGCAATCCGTACAAAACAAATCAATAAGCTTATATTAACACTGAATTTCATTAAAATTACGATACAGTCATGTTTTGGACCATGTTTACATCTACAGTCCAATATAGACCATTCTCTTATGTCTTCCACTGTTGATCTCCGCACAAAACACAGAATTCTAATTATACCAGGTCTTTGCTTACAACTAATCTAACTCTTATATAGTTGCAGGCAGAAAATGAATTTGTAACTGTTGGAAAATGATAACAGCACTCCTAGTTAAATAATTATAGACCTTACATGAAAATCAATCAGAACTACCTAACACAGAGATATGACTGGTGACTAGAGGCTTACAGATAATTGACCACATCAAAGCAACGACGCTCGAAAAACTTCAGATTCCAGGCACACCGAATCAGAACAAATGACAACTGAAACTGGAAAACATTAAAGTGACGAAGTAATACAGAATGTTAAATATGGTAAATCTTCTGATGCATCAAAGTACCACACACACACAAGGATTTTAATGCTATTTTTTTCATCTCGAGTACATTGAACTTTCTCACTGTTGCAGACTGTATGCAGGCTTTTTCTTTAAAAATCTAATTTAGAATACGGTTATGAAATGTCAGTATTAAAGCTTACAACTATTGGTTTTCCACTGAAAATACAATTGCCTGACATCAAAGATGAAGATGAAACAAAAGAACACATCCTATTACACAGTTATAGTGATTGTTTCAAATTAGTTATAAACTTTTCATATGAAAGAAAATGAGTGATTAATGGTGCCAAATGGGCTACAAAAATAAAGCCCAAGGACTACATTACGGTACTTCACAATATGCAGGGCAAAAATTCATTCATTGAATGATCATGCAGACACTCCTTCTATCTATTTATTGCCAAATTTTCTTCAAAGGATGCATGATGACTATGCAAAAAAACACAATATGTATTCTGGTTTGTCACCCGCATGGCGCGCAGGGTTAGAGCATCTGCTCTAGAGTCGCAGAGTAAGGAGTTGATCCTTACGACATGGGTTCGAATCCCTGACTGTGGGGTGTGAAGACCGGTCCTTTAGATGAAACCGTATAAACCAAGGTCTCATGTCACAGTAGATGCTAGCACAAGAAGATCCTTCACTGCTCAATGGCCCTGAGTGTCGAGTATAGAACAAAATTTTCAGCTCTCCACCGGCAAGTGGTGGCATATCCATATGATTGAAAAATTCTCAAGAGGATGTTAAACAACATACAAGCAAACTATTTAATGTTTTTCGAAATATTTCATATTTGGTCTTCACCAAAAAGGTGAAAAGGAAAGGGGGGCTTCTTTTGCAGACAAAATTTAATTTGCGTCACAATATAAAAATGATTATAACTAATAAACTTACATGCAAGCAAAGTGATTTTCATTCCCTGTAGTTTTATAACTTAGGCAAAAATGTTTATAGCGGATCAAAATTGCTCACCACTTGCACTATGCTATAAAAGTGTTTTACTGTATTCATGGTATCTATAAAGATGAATGGATGTTTGGACAGTCCTGATACTTTCTTTGGTTTGGCCTTCTATATAAAAATATACCGGTAGTCCCCTTGAGAAGTGAGGGAGGGGCAGTAGAATTCAATTCAACACGATAACTAAAACCTGAATGTACAGACCATAAGCTTTTCAGATTTTAAGTCAGTATTTCTATATTAGCATTAAGCAATACTGTGTCAGAAAGATATCTCTTTCAAATTTTGTCTCAGTTCTATATCTATTACATGTACACAGTTTGGTCATATTGACATGGGCAAACTGCAATACACTGTATTGTTGAAATGATCTATAAATCTATTTAGTCACTGTCAAACTTACTTGTCTATCCACTTGATTATTGACTAGTAAACAGTAAATTAAAGTGAGATTGTCCACCCAGAAAATACAGGTCATACACAGCAACTGAAGCATTACAATGCATCCTAAGCTGCTACACTGACTTTGGAAATTATTGGTAAATAATCTATATGCATGATCACTCATCCAACTAATGTAGGTCACATGCAGTCATTCGGAATACTGATTCAAAGTGCCATCATCTATCCAATTTTAATACAAATTTTTTTTTACTAATACTTGGGAAAAAAATTGTTTGACATTCTTTTAAAAAGGAAGACACCATTAAACCCTGGGAGACTATAATTAAATCAAATTCCCTTAACCCATTTGCACATCTATATGACATGGCCAATCATAAACTGATTATATTGAATTTTAAATGTCAACATTTGGAGGTCTATAGGGATTACAAATCCATTGGAGAACATAGTAATTCCTTTATTAACACCAGGGTCAATTGAAAACCTTCACTGTTGATCCTCTCTTTAAATCAATGAATAACACCCCCACCCACCCCACCCCCACCACACACACACACTACAAGGTTGACAAAGTTCTTGCAGTTTTTTCATTACAAAAATTAAACTGATCAGCATATAGTCTTCCACTGCATGAAAATTTGGTCACAAAAAAAAATTAATTTGTTACTGGGCAGAAAATGGTACACGTCTAAGCTAATCAAAGTTATATTTTAACTTCAAAATTCTGTGCATTCCATACAAAATCCCAAGTACTTACTAATAAATCTTCCACAGTGTTCCACTACAGTGTTAATGAACTTGCTGAAATTCACAATCCATTGTCTGACTACCCATTTGAGCAGATAATGATTAACTAATCATATTATTTTCAAGCTTTGGAATCATGACCAAACAAACTTATGTCAATATCTCAGTGCAAGCCTGAATTTATTTTCCACATTTCCTATGAATCGATAGACTAAAATACCCATGTAATAGAGAAATTAACTAAATGAGTCGATAAAACATTTTCTGGGCCATCTGCTTGGGAGAGAGTAAACATTTTATGTTGAAACTTTACATTTTCATTCACTTTAAATCTGCTGATATAAAAGAGGGTGACAACAGTGGATTATACTTATCGTCTTACCTTGTAGAAAGAGAATAGAGCAGAGGATTTAAATTTGTGTAAGTTATGGTCATAAAACTTAATCCTTTCCTTCTTGCACGTCACAAACCGAACACAGAAATCCGTGGAGACTTCTGTCAAGAAATATAACAGAAACTTCAGGGGTTGTAATGGGTGACTCTTCTTTCTTCCTACTGGTAAAACTCCCTTAAGAAGGTATATCTCCCTTAAGAACTCACTGTAAACGTCAAATTTTCTAGCCTATACCATAGTGTTCTCTTAAGGTGTAATATAACTTCCATGTAGCAAAAAAAACCAAGTCCAGAGAGAGATGTGTCCTTCTCTTTCCTTTTTCACTTCCAACAGTCACTGTCAGCCTTGGCTTGTTGCTAATGTCATATTTTCTCTGCAGTCACCGTCCAATCAATACTCGGATAAATATGTACAACTTTGTGTAGAGAATGAAGGTCTGGCAGCAAAACAGCTGTAGTGGTTCATGTTTTCACTACCACATATAACATCATCAATGAATGATATAAGATTGGCAACTCAGGCAGATAAAATTAATACACCCAGGGAGAATGAGAAAGGGGGGGGGGTAATGGAGTCTGTGCTGTGAAAACTGCCAAATGAATTTAGAATACTATGAGATGATTCTTATAATCTGTTTTAATTTTTTAACCAAAAAAATATGCAATTTGGCAAAGAAAAAATTTATACATTTTAGTTTTAAAATTTGATATATAAACATCTGAAAATGGCTGCCACACCCCAGCCTCGTTAAATATGCAATGCTCTTATTGATAATAAACATCCTGGTTTTCATTTTCAATGCACCAACCCCAATAATGTCTTCTCCTTACAAGCTGAAATGTTCCTGTACATTGCATTCGGCAATAAAATGTCCCTTTTTATGTCTGCCAGCTTCTGAATTTTTTCAGAATTTATGAGCTGTTTAGATTTATTATCCTCTTGTAAAAGGTCATCTCCCATAGAGGGAATTCTAGCTAATCTTGCTGAACAACATAGCATTAACTACTGAGTCTCATTTTACATATTCCATAGGAACTTTGTATATTGATTTCATATTCTGCATCAAAATAAATATTTTTTTCACTTGCCTAAAGAGCTTTTTATGCATTCAAATGACATGGATTTGTAATGGAAAACCACTTTTTTCATATTTTTACCATATGGCACACTTTTTTCTCTATTGCACATTTTTTTATAGCAGCAATAGGATATCAAGTAAGCTTTGTATAACACAATAAATAATGGCTTTACGTTTAAAACAATAAACACTTCAAGTTGCTATTTCAGTCTCATCCTCGGTAAATAAACTGCTTCAAACAGCAGCAGATAATCAAATTCAGCACAACAATTGAATCAACCAGACGCAGCTTTTTAAAATGGCCCAGATTCGCTGATATGTAAAGCTCCTGAGAGTTCCTGTTGAAACTTGAATATAAGTATAAAAGATTTTCATTAACAATAAGCCCTCCCTTCCCACAAGAAATTAACATTAATGGGGTCCTTAATATTAATAGAAACTTATTCATTCTGACGAGTTTTAGTTTCCATCATTTCCATCATTCTAAATAATAAATGAAACCTTTCAAAGCTTTTTATAAGATCACCATAGTGCAATTTGAATGAAGAGAAAAATTTCAGAGCATGATCCGAAATGTCGAAGTAAAACAAAAAGTATCCACTTTTTAATTCAATGTGTACTTGTTCTAATAGAGAAGGAATTATTTTTCTGTAACTTCTAGGACCGATAAATGTAATATCCATATGATGCCAACTAGATACAAAATATTTGACCACTTCCCATTTTTACAAGTATACTCGTACATATTTTTGAATGCCCTGACCTCTGTGAGATGATTTGGGTTACTGCCGCTCTATAATAATATAATTACATGATAATGATGATATATTGTTTTTGTGTGATGCCACTTCATTCTAACAATCACAATACCTCTTACGATTCCAAAGATACCCCATAACTGCAATCACTCTATGTTTGAAGGCCTTGCAAGACGTCTCTTACGTACCCTATAGTATAAGAGGCTTTAGAGCAGTATGGTATGCACACACTTCTTTAATTACATCAAATATAAACAGATTGATTTATGAGGTGTTAATCGTTCTTCTATTTCATACTTAATAGCTCCTTGTGGTGAATTCTGGCACGGATACATATTACATCATCAAACATCTCATCAGGAATTCTGACATCATTACAAAGCTTCATCATCATTTATTCATATCAATGGAACTTTAACGTAGTAAATAAAACACTGCCTAAGGGCCTTATGTTTCAGTATGGTACACATGTACTAATAAATGTATATCAAAAGAATAATTTTACTTCAAAAAATTGAGCCAAAATACACCCTATTAAGATAGACATGCCAGTCAAGCCTCAATCTAATCTAAATTAAATCACACAAAATAAATATTTGCATCAAACTGCACTTTTCAACACATTTTTAACAAAAGAAGTTTTTTCATTGGATAATTCAATATCATAAAATTGCTAGCCAAAAAAACTAATAAACCTGCCTCCATTCTATATAACCTACCTATAGTCATACAGGTAATTTCCTACCAGTCATCCAGACCTACTAGTACCAGTCCTACAGGTAATTCACAGACCACTGACTGATCTCAGGTACATTCACTGACATTCCCTCAGCCCTGATAATATGCTTTAATCAAGCTGAATATTTCATAACCCTTAACAAGGGGCCATAACACTCTCGAGATATGTTTACAGAGCTTGGGTAAATCTATATTAGGATTGCCAGTAAATCATGGAGACTTCAGCAAGCATGGACAGAGAGAGAATAGTAATCTTTTAAGTACCTGAATCATTTGAGGTTCCAAGATGTGTAATTACTGCATGTTTCACCTGAATTTTCATTTCCGGCATATGCAACCATTAAACCTTAATTTCAAATCATTCAGCCGATTTTTTCCCCCTGCGACCCATTAATTTTTTCCTTATTTTTTTCTCCCATACACTCCTACTAACACCCTTTATTTTTAATCAATTTGATGCAAATCCCCAGCCACTATAAGGAATCAATATCTTAAACGTGAAGGGAATAACTGATTAATTTTCCACTTCTTCAGTCTGCATAAAACAAATCAACAAAGGACAAATGCACCAAAGAACACCGCTACTGTCGTCATCAGCTACTGCTAGAAATATCACGACTGGTCAATTTCACACCCATGATATATACATCTCATACCACTGATCAACTGCCACTTTTGGCTTGCTGCAGTTAGTGTTGAAAGTGATTTTTTGTAAATTTTTTTAACCTTCTTCTAACTGGTCTAACAGTAATGTGAGAATACACAGACTTGCACATACCATTCTATTCTCTTCTTTTGCATCTTTTACAGGAAAAAGGGACACAATTCTATCATGAGTTGTAAACAAAACAAAATATTGAGTGAAAATTATCAAGAGTCAGTCTAGCATGTACATTGTGGAAGTATAGGAATTGAAAAAGAAATACCGAAATGTCCATAGAACATCAATGCCATTCCCAAGCAACATTAAAAGAAGTGTACCTTACTTCTTTCATCAAAGTTTACAATGAAAGAATTAAGGAATAAATTTATTTTTCTCATATTTTAGAACTTCACTACAATAGTAGTCCTTTGTTGTCTAGTATAAAATTTTTAGTCATTCCATCCATCATCTAACAGCTAATGTACACAATGAACATTTTTTCTTTGAATATCAACTTTCTTATTTATGAGTGACAATCTTGAATTTTTTTTTGGTTTATTTATATGACTCCTAAGCCAACCATGATTTCATACATCAAATTCCATGATTTTAAAATCATTGGCTTTAATAGTCAACCAAAAACAGTGTATGATCACATGACTAGCTTTGCAGCACAAAGTGAAGAATTCCATAAAAAATTGGCAATTAATTAATTCTGCATAAAATGAAAATCTAAAACCAAAAGGCAAGAATTTAACAGTTTTGATAAACATGGTAAATGGTTTATTGTCATCATACATTAGAGCACCTGGAAATAATACTGCTGCACATCACTTATGTTTAGGACATTTTCTTATCATTGAGACATTATGATATAATACCCTTCTACAAGCACTGATATTCAAAAAATCTATACTCATTACTCAGTCTTGAAACTTAAAAAAAATACACGTTTGTAATCCACACTAGTGTGCAAATTTTTTTAAGAGCTAACTTGTAACTCTATTACTGATTTACTGTACACAATTAAGCTGAAAATACATCAAATATTTACTAAATTATTGTACTATAAAATTAGCCCTGACAGTACATCATGTTGAATGTATGAAATTGAGTTGAAACCTGAAATTTATTGTGTGGTGCTATATCACTGGATTTAACTGATAAATGACAGGTAACACACTTTATTACACTTTACTATCTCCTTATGTTTATGAATATAAGATTGACTGTCCGGGTAGAACCACAAAATGATAACAAAGCTGTCAGCGCATTGATATATGATGGAATATTAACTTGTTTCTAACTTTCTATATTTAATAATAAAATATGACATAAACGTATAATAAAATGAGAATATCTGGGTATGTGGATAATCAATTGTGCAATACAAATTTAAAATGCAATTACCCTAATAAAATAAACAAATTTCAAACCCAAAGGATTATTTTTTGCACAGTAAATGAGTAATGATTTAAAATTTCCAAATAATGCAGTGAAATTAAAAATGAATATATTCAGATGATTAAATTATAAAAAATTAATATTTTTTTTATAAAGTTACCTTTGACTGAAACTCAGTTTGATTATGTTTGTGCAATATTTATCCTATGCAAAGGTAAAAAAAAAAGGGTGTTTGTTTGCCATTAAGTTAATTATTTCTCAATATATATTCTGCTTCACATTCAATACGTAACATTATAATAGACCATTTCACAATAACTGAGGTACTACTCTTTTGCAGGGTAAAATGATTTTAGTGAAATATGATGTAAAAGTATTTATTTAATATACATCATTTAATCATCTATCAACAAAAACTTCACCAAACATTACTAATTTGCCGTGCAAAAGAGTAGTACCACAACTATCGTGAAGGGGTTCATTATTATGTTCAGCATGTTATAAAAATCTTTCCAACATACTGGATGACCTCATTGCAGGCAGTGCAACAGTCTCTCAGAGCATATTATTTTACCAAATTAATGTTATAAACAACGTTTACTTGTTTTACTATCTATATTTGTTAAATATACATTCAAAACAAGTGTTTGATTTATGAAAAACATAGGAAATTCGAACTAACAGACCCCCTGTAAAGTTGTTCATTCTTGTGTTGAAAGCAACAATTTTCTATTTAAGTTATGGAAAGGTCCTCCGCCAAAGATAGCAACATTCAAAAATTAAAGAATCATATATCGATATTCAAAAACAGAGACATTACAGCACATCGATT